GAGAGTTCTCTATTTGTACTCCATTTTCTTATTGGATTATTTGTTCTTTTGATGACCAATTTCTTGAGTTATTTGTATGTTTTGGAGATCAGAATATGGGATTGGTGAAGATCTTTTCCCATTCTGTAGGCTGTCATTTTGTCTTGTTGACTGTGTCCTTTGCTTTATAGAAGCTTTTCAGTTTCAGGAGGTCCCATTTATTGCTTCTTTCAGTGTCTGTGCTGCTGGGGTTATATTTAAGAAGTGGTTCCCTGTGCCAATATGTTCAAGTGTACTTCCCACTTTCTCTTCTATAAGGTTCAATGTGACTGGCTTTATGTTGAGGTCTTTGATCCATCTGGACTTGAATTTTGTGCATGGTGATAGATATGGGTCTATTTTCATTCTTCTACGTGTAGTTATCCAGTTATACCAGCACCATTTGTTAACTATGCTTTCTTTTTTCCATTTGATATTTTTTGCTTCTTCATCAAAAATCAGGTGTTCGACAGTGTGTGGATTAATATACGGGTCTTCTATTCGGTTCTATTGGTCCTCTGTCTGTTTTTTTTTTTTTTTTTATGTTTACAGTGTTCTGCCTTCAGGCCAGAAGAGGGCACCAGATCTTATCATAGATGATTGTGAGTCACCATGTGGTTGCTGGGAATTGAACTCAGGACCTCTGGAAGAATAACCAGTGCTCTTAACCGCTGAGCCATCTCTCCAGCCCCCCTCTGTCTGTTTTTATGCCAATACCAGACTGTTTTCAGTACTGTAGCTCTGTAGAAGAGTTTGAAGTCAGGGATTGTGATGCTTCCAGAAATTCTTTTATTGTACAGGATTGTTTTGGCTATCCTGGGTTTTTTGCTTTTCCATATGAAGTTGAGTACCGTTCTTTTGAGGTCTGTGAAGAATTTTGCTGGGATTTTAATGGGCATGGCATTGAATCTGTAGATTGCTTTTGGTAAGGTTGCCATTTTTACTATATTTACCTACCCAAGAGCATGGGAGATCTTTCCATTTTCTAGTGTCTTCAATTTCTTTCTTCAAAGATTTAAAGTTCTTGTCATACAAGTCTTCCACTTGTTTGGTTCGAGTTACTCCGAGATATTTTATGCTATTTGTGGCTAGTGTGAAGGGTAATGTTTCTCTGATTTCTTTCTCGGCCCATTTATCATCTGTGTACAGGATGGCTACTGATTTTTTTTTTTTGAGTTAATCTTGTATCCTGCTACATGACTGAAAGTGTTTATGAGGTTTGGGGTCACTTATGTAAACTATCATCAGCAAATAAATAGTGAGAGTAGTTACTAACAAATCTTAATGTACTTGAGTGAGTGTAATTCTACCCTTTTTCAGTGTCTGTCCTTTGAGGAATGGGCTGAGGAGAGAGTTTGTCTGTACCAGTGAATTTAAACTTACAAGGGCATGGATAACCGGTTGTTTATTTACATGAGCATAGGTATCCAGTGGCTACACTACTGAAAGAAAGTTTCTCCTTTCCCCTCAGAAACCATTAATTGCATATAATGCTTACAAAATTAACTGCATGTAATAAATCAAAGAGGGACTGGGCCTTGTAAGCACCTCCTCACTTCATGATGGACTGTTGACAAGCTTCATCTTGTACAGTGCAGATACTGGGGGCTAAAGAGGTAAAAAATGTAATGGTCATATTGTGTCTGGAAACTCTTATATCCTTTCCACTTCCTCTTGGTGTTCACTGAGCCCTGGAGGGAATGACACAGGTGTTCCATGCAGGGCTGAGCATTTTAGTAACTTAATCTCAGTATTTTGAACAATTGTGAGTCTCTGAAGTAACCACTGCCCATTGCAAAAAGAAGCTTCTTTGACCCAAGCTTATAGCAGCACTAATCTGCTGTCATAAGTAAATACTTAGAAGGCACCTTGACAGGTACATTGTGTCCATTTAGCAAAATCATAGCAGCTTCCTCACTAAGACCTATGACTTCATCCTTACCACAGCCTTTTTAATGTTTCCAGTACCAAATGTGAATTCCTGCCTGTGGAGCAGGCCTCAAATCCAATGAGAGTAATTGGTTACTTCCTGCCAGTGATGCCGTTATTGTACCAGTGCAGACATTTGCTGGCAGATCAGACTAGCATGCAGGACCCACAGTTGAGTAAGACTGTTGCTGACAGTTCTCCCCCAGCAGCCTATGTAGCACTAAGGCAGCAGAGAGAAAGCTCACCTCCACCTTGATTTGTATACTACATAAATAATTTTATGTTTAATTATTATTAAATGTGCTTTTGCAGTTAAATTAGCCGGAATAGCAGGTTATTTGTAAATATGGAGTCTGGAGTTAGAACTGGACCTTATTCCTAGTTTCACCCATGATCTTAGACATTTTCTGTAATCTCCTATGACCTCAATTTTCTTATCTATAAAGGGGGGATGCTTACTATAGGTTCTGGAGACATAGACTATCTGTTATAGCAACCACTTGCTACATGTGGATATTGAATACTCAAAATGTAACTAATCTGAATTGAGATTAAGTATAACATACACTGTTTCAGATGGATTAGCCATGATTACACCAGATGCCAAAGACTTAGATCACCCTCCTCTTTATACTTTGTCATTGTTATTAAAATACATTTTTTAATAATTGGTTACTGTTGAAGTGATAGTATTTTAGATATATTGTACTAGTTGTCTAGCCTAATAAGTTATGTTATAAAATGTTAATATACCTATATAGCTTGAGTAAAGTTTTATTGGAACAGGGTATGAGTTCATTTTTATGTTGTATATAAGCCTGCTTTTATACTACAAAGTTATGTGGTTATCACAAAGCCACCAGGCCTTTAAAACCTAAAACACTTGATTTTCCAGTCTTTAACCAACAAAGTTTGTTGTACCTGCTCTAGCCTGTAATAGATATTCAGTGTATTATCGTTTCCTTAGAATGGTTATGGCCAAGACAGAAATAAGAGGTTGTTTAGTGAGGAAAGGGAGATGGGGAATACTTGCTAATGGACTAAAGAAAATGATGATGATGATGATTTTACAAGTTCTTTGAATATACTGAAGCCATTGAATTCTTACAAAATTTTAATTCTTTTAAAAAGTAGATATGAACAACCTGGTAAATATAATAAAGCAGTATGCTAAACATGATACATGATGAGAACATTCAAAAAGTCAAATGCATATCAGTTAGGAAGAGAATAAAACAACACTTGTAAAAAAGTGATTTAAAAATATACGCTTATGTCAAAAAACAGTTTTTACTACATTTCAAAATTCATACCATTTAAGAATACAGTTTTCCCTCAATCTCTGTCTGGTATTGGCACCTGGACCCCATGCAGATACCAATCAATTTCTTTAGGTGCTTAAATCCCTTATACTATAAAAAGTTAACTATTTGTAATATCTATCATATATACCCTTCCATACTTTTGTGTCTAAATAATTTACAGTACTTAATAAACTATAAGTGCTGTTTAAATAATTCTTATACTATATTGCTCAGGGAGTGCTCACAAAAAATCTGTACAGGTGCGTTTTATTCCCTCGTATGTTTTCAATATGAAGTTGATTGAATCCATAGATGGGAAACTGACAGGTATGTCAGTCTGACTCTGTCTGCAAGTTCTCATGTAGGAAAGCACTTAGATATCATCTGCTTGGTTCATTCAAAGTGTGCTTATCGTTGATTCATATTATAAATATCTTATCATTACAATGCAGCCTGTAACTTAAAGATGCTGTGCAGTAATGAGTGACTACAGTTATGTTTAACCAGACATTTAAGGCTGGATGTGGCGGTACACAACTATAATACAACTGTGCCTATGCTGTAATCTGAGTACTCTGAAGGAAGAGGTTGGAGGCTTAGGAATTTGAGGTCATGGTGTGGGATTCCCCTCTGTATGCTGTGAATATCATTGGTAAATAAAGAAATTGGCTTGGCCTTATAGGTTAGGACAGAGCTAGGATGGGAAAACTAAACTGAATGCTGGGAGAAAGAAGGGCAAAGTCAGAGAGAAGCCATGTATTTCTACCAGAGACAGACGCTGGAATGTTAGTCGTTAAGCCACAGCCACGTGGCCATGCACATTAATAGAAACGGGTTAAATTAAGACATAAGAGTTAACCAATAAGAAGCTAGAGCTAATGGGCCAAGCAATGATTTAAATAATATGGTTTCTGTGTGATTATTTCGGGGCTGAGCGTCCAGAAACCAACAAGGTCAGCCCGGGTTAAAGGCGAACTTATTTCAATAAAAACAAAGCACCAAAACCCTACAGTATTGTTAATGTTGTTTCTTTTCTGGATACACCTATCTAAACACAGAAACCATGTGCAGTTTTGGGGAAGCTCTTGAAAGGATGATATAAAATTAGCAGGAAGGGAATTAGAAGGCTGTTCCAGAATTTGTATCTTACTTTGGTATTTTTATCTTTATTGACTTGTTATACAGTCTGAAATATTTTTTTCTCGTTGCTTTGAAACTGACCAAATATTCTGCTTTATACAATTGATATATCAGTTTGTTGTACATAGGGTTTATCAGAAATATACTAATCAAACCATTATTTGGTATATAATTTCTCTCTTGAAAATGGCAGTGGGTTTTAATTTTATTGCCCCTAGAGCAGCATATTACAATACTTTATTTATACTATAATGTAGGACACATTATGTGTAAGAGCATAATGTGGTTTTGGAACCAAGCAGACCTTGAATTTTAACTTCATTTACTAATTTAATGTGACCCAGTAGAGCCTGTGTAATGTTTAATTACTATTTATATCTCCATTTTCTCATCTCTAAAAATGTATTTTTAAAGAATAAAGAAAATTACTGTAATTAGCACAAAGTAACCACTCAAATGATAACCTTATTGCCACATAATATGCCAAGTTTAAATCAAACTTAAATTTTTTACTTGTCAGTATCATACATTTCATTATGTATTTTACTGACTCCTACCTTTTCAAAAACATAGAAAAATAATAAGTAACATTCTATTTTACTATTTCAGTCAAAGAAAAATAAGAAGAAATCAAAGTCAGATGCAAAAGCAGTGCAAAACAGTTCACGCCATGATGGAAAGGAAGTTGATGAAGGTATTTGAGCAAGGGAAAGGCCTATAGAAAATATTTAAATTTTTTAAACTAAGATGTGTGGTATACAGGCTGCATTTGTTTCAGTTAATCTTGTATGTAGCTCTTTTTAATTTCCATAAATTTTAACATAAAGATCTGTGACGTTGTTAAGAAACACTTTGGTTATCTAAATCATTTAAGCATCCAATGGTGCTTATTCTTTAGATTTATGTTTGCTCAATATTCTGAGCAATTGAGAGGCCATTCATCTTGTCTTTGTTTCCAAAAAATATGGTTTGGAGTTTCCCATTTTTCTTAAATTTACCATTCCAAAAAGGCTGTGTGCAAAATTCTTGAATAAGCCATTTATTATCGTACCCTAAACTCATGTATTAGTAGCAGATATAACACTCTCCTTCTACCCAACAGGATAAAAAGATAAGAGACAATTATTTTCTGTCACTTTTCCTAAACCATATGCAAAATTTTTGTTAAAAAACAAAACTAGGATAAAAATAGGTTTTTTGCCTAAAATAACGTGAGATTATAATAAATTCTTAGAGCAAATTAATATAATCAGCACTCTTGGTTTTTAGCTTAATTATCTAAATTTATTATATCTGCCCCATCCCATATTTTTTTCCCCTCAAATCTACAACTTTTTTGTTTTCCCCTTACTGAATAACATTTTTTTTCTCGGGCTATGTCAGGAGCCTGGGAAACTAAAATTAGTCACAGAGAGAAACGACAACAGCGTAAACGTGATAAAGTGCTGACTGATTCTGGTTCATTGGATTCAACTATCCCTGGGATAGAAAATACCATCACAGTTACCACCGAGCAACTTACAACTGCATCATTTCCTGTTGGTTCCAAGAAGAATAAAGGTATATTAGTGGAACATAAGAGTGGTACATCAAATCAAACTCCTTTAAGTCAGATGTACAAATTATTATGTCACAATCTATTTTGATCTGCTAACATCATTGTGCTGATATACCCTTCTTCATGAGAGTATTGTGAACCACATCCTGGTTTACCGCATAACAGCAGTGTTATTAATATTGCCTAATGAATGGCTTATTAAATTAAAATTTGCCTTTCTGCCTTGAGTCACATTAGAAAATGTTGTTGCTTCTTTCCCTCGTGTATGTTGCTTTGCCCAGTCCTCTTACATCTCCATTTCTTACTGTGAATAAGACATTGATTAAGTGGAATATTTATCACCATTCTGCATGTTGGGCACTTTCATTCCAACATGGAACAAGCATGTTGTGGTTAGTGCAGGTTCTGTCTCTCCACCCCAGTTTTGTTATTGTTGTTTTGGTTTGGTTCTTGTTTTGTCAATTTTCTAAGTGTTGATAAAGCTAGACCAGAACTTCAAAGATGATGGAGCCAGTATCCTTCCTACCCAGAACTCAGCTGTGCAAACTGTCCAGCATTGAAAACTACCTTAAGGTAGCACTTTGTACTGCTAACATTTTACCCTAAAGACAACAGTTGCAAAGTGATGCTGCTCAGCTTGATGCAAAGCATTGGTTTATCTCCTTTGTCTTTTGTTAGTGACCTCCCTGTTTTCGATCTCTGGGTTGTTAGCAGATCACCTTCTTAACCTTGCTGTTTTTATGTTTGCTCTTTGTTTGCTAACTTACTGAAATTTACTGCTATGGTACAGCAGTGAGTTCTCCTTATCCATCATGCTATCGTATAGTATCAATAGTTTTAGTATTTTTGTTGGTGACCCCTTTTTTTTCTGATTTGGGCATGCCTGCCTTGCTTGCACCTCTTGTTTCATAGGTGTTTTGAGTTAGTTTGGTTTGGTTTTGTTATATTGTGATAATTATGCTTATTTTGTGCCAGAGATTGGAATTTTATGTTAGAACATGTAATTCTCATTTTTTTGCCATATTTCCTGTTATAATCCCAAATCTGGTAATGCTCTTCTTAAATTGATGTGCTTGCTTCTGGGATTATTGAAAAGGCAGCTCATGTTGAGATGAGGCAAAGTTGAATCCAATTTCAGAGCTCAATTCTCCAGTTCCTCCCTGAAAGAACCTTCAGAATTTAGAAACATTGCAGAAAAACGGGCAATGCTTATAATAATTTATAATTAGGCAGTTTTCCAGGACTCAACATTTTAATTGACTAAAAATGTGATAACTAGACATTCAGTTCCCTGTGGATATGATACATTGCAAAAATCACTCTTTTTAATGTCCAAACTGGCACTTGAAGGAGCAGTTTATTATAGATAACAATTGTGTGTTCTTCTTGATTTAATGTGCATAGTGGAAATAAATCTTATTTCTATTTCAACCCAGGTGATTCTCATCTAAATGTTCAAGTTAGCAACTTTAAATCGGGAAAAGGAGATTCTGCACTTCAGGGTGAGAGAAATTACATGTAACTTAAACTGAAGGCCCATCAAAATAGAAACTTGCGTACATTCTCTTTCCTTACATGAATGATGTTGAAGGAAAGAAAATGGGTTAAAGTTAATTTTTAATTTCTATATTAGTATAATCATAGAGATTTTAAAAGTGGAAAAGGATGCTCACTCACACTCTGGTTTTGAAGTTCTAACTCCTTCCCTTCCTGTATATAAAAGCATTCAGTAATAATTTATGTGCAATTTTGTTTCTTGCTTGTATCATTTAAACCAATACAGAAGGATCTTTGTTGAACATGATTATAATATGCGCATACTTGGGATAAGAAGACTTTACTCTGTATCTTAAGAAAATGTAGCTCTTTATAAATTTTAACTGCTTCCTTGATGGTATCAAATATTTTGTGATAAATGAATATAGTTTAAAGTTATTGGGTGCTTAACAAACAAAAATAACCTAATTCACTCATTTCTCATCGCTGAAGCAAGCAGATCATTATGGTGGCCTAAAGCAGAAGTGCCACTGAAAGAAAAGCACCTTCACTTTAGGCTTGTTCTCGACACTTAATGTCCAAGCATCTCAGTCCTGGCTGCACATCTAGGAAGCTAAAGCATACCACACACAGACTTGTCCTCAGTCCTCACTTTAGTTGGTCTGGACCGGTCCATAGAGTCTATTTAAATTTCTTAGTTGATTCTGACGTGCTGTCATTACACGTAACATAATATACAAAGCTGTATTTAAGGAAAGAATGTCTAACTAAGAAGTCATTTCATAGTGGGTGAGTATTCAGAATATACTAGAATACATCTTTTCAGTTTGCCATTAGTATGCATGTTACATTTTAATCGTCTGTCGACTTTTAAGAGGTCAGGTGTTGTGGTGCATGCTTGTAATCCCAGCACTATAGAAACAGAGGTAGGAGAACCATGAGACTACTAGGAGCTACATAGTGAGATTCTATCTCAGAAATAAGTTTTTAAAGGGATCTGTGGAAACCATGTGAGAACTGTTTAGTTTACTTTTTTCATACTCAAGCTACGTAAAGGACAATAAGAAGGGAGAGAGAGGACGAAGCATAAGCCAAGTTATCATAGAAACTTGAAAATCCCCCCACATACACACACTTTTTTTAACAAGAAATCATGTATCTGTTTTTAATCTTTACATTCTTTTCTTTAAGTTTCTTCGGGATTGAATGAAAATCTTACTGTCAATGGAGGAGGCTGGAATGAAAAGTCTGTGAAACTCTCCTCACAGATGAGTGCAGGGGAGGAGAAGTGGAACTCTGTTCCACCTGCTTCTGCAGGCAAGAGAAAAACAGAGCCGTCTGCTTGGACTCAAGACCCTGCTGATGCTAATGCCAATGGGAAAGACTGGGGAAGGAACTGGAGTGATCGTTCGATATTTTCTGGCATTGGTAAGGATTCTTAGGGGGAAAAGTTAATTTAAAATTGGTAATCTGATACATCTTGGATTTTTTCAGGATTGGTGACAGAAAGCAGACCATCAAACTAGTAGGCATGGTAGTGCGTGCCTGCAGTCACAGGACTTGGAAGGTGGAAGCTGAAGGATCAGGAGGTCATCTTGAGCTGCTAGAGGATAGCCTGGGTTATGTGAGATCCTGTCGTCCCCCAAAAAAGGAAGAAGAAATACTAGCCCTGCCATGCAGAAGTAATAGTGATAATTAAGTTATCTCAGACCCTATGCATAGAATAGAGCAAGTGGAAACTAACACAAATAATAGCATGTACTCTAAATACTGTTTTTACATTCTCTGTCGTATTTGTTCTTTAGTATGGCTGATGTAATTATATATTCTTAGTAATTCATAAATGTAATATGTGAGTAGACGTGATAGATTTTAGTAGTTTTATTGAGTGTAAATAAAATACTAGGCAAGTTTATAGGATCCATTTTTTTATAGTCTACAAAAATGACTATTAGAATTATCTTTTCCATGGATTTTCATGGCAAAAATTAGTAGTTCCCCTATTGAGAGCCATTGCGTTTTAAGCAACATGTGCTTATATGTTATAGGAAAAGAAATCTTTATTAAATATGAAAAACAGCAAATAGGTAAAGGGAAACATGTCATCACACCACCCAGTGGTAGCTATAATTAGTCTTTGTGTTTACAGGCTTTTTTCTCTACTCTGTATGGTTTTTGGTTTTAACATAAACTGAATTGAATGTGCATTTTTATGTTCCTTTTCCCATCCCCAAATTTGTAAGGAAAGTTTTACTTGTTATGAGTATGTTATGAGCATGTCTACTTAATGGCCTTGTGTGCTATACTGTTTAAATATATCATAGTTTACTTAGCTATTTCTGTATTACTGGAAACTGACTTTTTAAAAACTATTTTAGGTAATACATTTAGTGAATTTCTCTAGAATAGATTCTTGGGAATGACTTGTTAAAGAGAACATGAATATGTTCATATTGTCAGTTTCTCTAATACCTTCATCCTCAGTGTAAATGCCTATTGATCATTTTTACTTATCAAATTGGGCTTTTTTTTAGTCTTTTCTGAATTGATAAGCGAAAAATACATTAATTATTTAGTTGACTTTTAAATCATTGATGCAATTGGAAATTTTTTTGTGAATTAATTGATCATTTCTGGTTTTTTTTTCTGGTTATCTATTCATGTTCTTTGACATTTGTCCAATGGCTTTATGCTCTTTGACTTTTTAAATTGAATTGTAATTCCTCATATAGTAAATTAATTTTTTCTCTCCTTTTGGGGGTTTGGTTTTGGCTTTGTCAGACAAGTCTGACCTGGAACTTATGGACAGTTCTCCTGTCTGTGACCTTTAAGTGTTGGAAATACAGTTGTGAGACTCCGTGCCCTGCTTAGACATGTAGTTTTTTTTCTATTTTATTTATGGTGGGTATTTTTGATAACTTAGCTTAATATGAGAAATACTGAATACCGGAAAGTTAGTTTGCAAGAAAAAAAACATAACTTCTTCTCTTACTCTTAGCTTTCTAGTCCTTTTCAAAAACTAATGCCCTCAGGAAGCAAACTCCAATTCATTCACTAATACTATTGTTCCAAGTCTGCTCTCCTCACGGAGAGGTCCAGAAACTGTGGAAACACCAAAGTCTGTTTACAAAGGTGGTCCCTAAATCCATACCACCATTTCAACAGAGAAAGTGTCATATTATAGAAGATCAGGTTTTATGGAACAATGTTGGGAATACTAACCTTGTAATATATTTCTAGTTTACTTATAGAAGCTATGTAGTTTCACTATTAGAACATAGATTAGGTGGTGTTTGCCTAGTGTTGTTACAGATAAAATAGCCAGTTAGATGGATGGCCTTCACTAGCTGGATTCAAGATTCTTTTGAAATTGGGGAAAAAAAACTGTATTAAACTAAGTTTGTAATGGATTGTTGAGGAAAGGCAGGTATGACTGACTGTGCTATGAGGAGGTGTGTGTGTGCTCCTTAGAATACAGTCATGTCTAGTAACAGGCACCTTAAAAATGCATGTTAGGTGATTTGTCATTGTGTGGCCATGTACTTAAACTAAGACACCTCATAGGATCACAGTATATTGACCTATTGACCTAAATGTTCTGTTTTCAGAGAAGTATCTTGAAAATAATAATAAAAAAAAGTAGCATGACAAAATAGAATAAGGATAGACTAGTTCAGACAGACCTATTAGGAGTTTTGTGGACATTTATTTATATAACCCATATATACCTCGTATTTAAGTAATTGTCAATATTGTAATGTATGTCAGCTACCAAGTTTGTTGACTCTAAAGTAGTTGCTTAAATTATGATAGTTAATGACATAGTTTATAAAGTGGAAAGAGTAGGCTTGGAAACTGACTGACTTTAAATTCTAGTTATAGCTAAGTAGTTTTCTAAGTATTAGCAAATCAAACAGCCTAGCAGAGTTGATGGAATGATTAGAACTCAGTGTATAGGGAACCCACCTACATTGTAGACACTCAGTAAATAATAGCTATTGCTATATTATTGGTTCTCATTTTTAAAATAATCTATAAATATTGCTATCATAGTATTAAATCTGTACATCTTTCAAGTTTCGTTGCAAATTGAAGGTTGCAAGTGACGTTGTTTATTTTGCCAGCTGCTTGGTATAGTGTGGCTAGGGGATGAGTGCCTCTCACAGAACTCTGCTTCTTTTGCACCTCTCACACTTAGCTCTGCTGTCTCTGGTATGTGAAAACAGTCTTTCATTTAGTTAACCAAACATTCCTGTTTACTTTTAGCACTTGTTATTGCTATCAACATAATTAATATATGAAATAGCAAAAGTCTTGACGTTGTAGGGAACACCAAAGTCCTTGTGTGCCAGTGACTTAGATCTACCACTGGCAATTTATTAGCCTAAATATTCCTAGAAGGCCTTCTCCTTTAGGTTAGAACAGTGGTTCTCAACCTTCCTAATGCTGCAACCCTTTAATACAGTTTCTCATGTTGTGGTGACCCCTAACCATAAAATTATTTTCGTTGCTACTTCCTAGCTGTAATTTTATGAATAGTAATGTAAACAGTCTGTTTTTCCAGTGGTCTTAGGTGACCCCTGGAAAGGGTCATTTGACACAGCCCCAAGGGTTCTAACTCACAGGTTGAGAACCACTTGGCTAGGACCATGCTCTTGTTACTAGTGCACCCACCAAACTTCTGGTTAAATCTGCCATATTTCTATTCATTTGTTTCTCATTATGAGTTTTTAAGTGAGCCTTTCAGATAATATGAACACACATACTCAATAGTGTTTTAGGACCTGTTGATTCAGAGTATACACTATTAGTGATACTGTCAATCCAGCATCATTTAAATGGATAGGTCTTTTATTAATCAGCAGAAGCTATATATGTTAAATATTACATAAGTGGGGGGGGCACTTTTTATTTAAACTATGTGAGTTGCATAGGTTCCATGAACTTCATTTACTGATGATGTTACTTCATGGTGTCTGGAACACTAGCCTAGAATTGGGGACAGCAGACTCTTCCTGTAAAAGCTAATAGTAAGTAGTTTAGGTTTTATAGTCCATAAAACCTATGTTACAGCTGTCAACTGTGCATGATTGCAAGAACGCAACCAGAGATAATACATAGGCAAAGAGTCATTTGATTTTTTTTTTCAACCAAGTAAAAATATGAAATTTGACCAGATGTGGTGGCACACACCAGGGCTTGAAAGGCAGAGGCAAGCAAATCTCTGTGGGTTTGAGGCCAGCTGGTCTACAGAGCAAATTCTAGGACAGAGGGTTGTTATACTGAGGAATCCTGTCTCAAGGAGAAAAAAACAAATATATATGAAGTTCTTCTTAGTTTATGAGCCAGTCAAAATCAGTGGTTGGACTTGGCCTACAAGGGACAGTTTGCTAACTCATGGTCTCTTCAACCACACTTCATTTTCAGGAGTGCAAGTTAATTGCTTCCTTCATTTGATAACTATACAACACACATAGATTTTGAGAAAGCAGTAGGGGCTACTGAAGATAAGTTTATATTTATGTAGCTGAGTGCCTAATATGCTAAATAGTACCACATTTGTTGAGTAGTCTACTAAATTTTACATTAGAAGATATTACTGTTTTGAGTATATAATGAGACATTAATCATTAGTGAAATGCTAGCAAGCTCATCTGTAAGCACGTAGAAATGCATAAATTAGTGAAGACTGAGGGGGAAAGGGATCATTAGTTTTATTTACACTAACCAGGGACCTGTGCTTCCTAACCATTTTTTCCTATCAGTAAGGATCTCTGAATCCAAAGTGAATGTAAGAGTCGCCTAAGGACTCTTATACGTGTGAAATTGTGTATGTGTCTCTGTGCACCTGATAAAATGCTTTCATTTGCATTTTCAATTAATTTGTAGCCATAGAGCAATGGGTTTTGACCTTACTTGCATGGACTGTTGTGCCCCAAAATATATTCAGATTTTTACATAAAGTTCTGGGCATTGGTATTGGGCCACCGCTGCTTTTATCAGGTTCCTAAGAGACCTTGTGATGCCCCACTTTCCCCCCACCTTTCCTTCTCACTCTCCCTCTAATGTACCTGACCATAAATCTTTGAGCTTGGGACAACTCTTGTCTCTGACTTTTGACTTTTCTGTCTCACCTTTCTGATTAAGCTTGTTTCTTTAACTTTCTATGGTCTAAAAGTTGAGCTAACTCAAACATTTTCTAATCATTTTTCTGAGTTCTCAGGACATGTGCATATGTTGAAGCATCTAGCTAGCATCACAATTTTGTGTTTTACTGCTTACCTTTAAGAAAAATTGAGCTTTTTTTTTTTTTCAACATTTTAACATTTGCAGACAACAAAAATTAGACTCTGGATGGTATGAGTGGTGGTGTGGATTAGCTCTAATTATTATCATACCTAATTTAAAATTGCCCTCAATTTTACTTTTCCTTTTAAGTTAACACTTTTGCTATGTCTAAAATTTTCCTTTTAGGAGAAATAAAGTCCATGTGCAAAGTATAGATCTATTGTTATGAAACATCCTTAGGAAAACCCATTTTTAATTTTATTGCATTCATTTTTCATTTAAGGGTCTACTGCTGAGCCAGTTTCTCAGTCTACCACTTCTGATTATCAGTGGGATGTTAGCCGTAATCAACCCTATATCGATGATGAATGGTCTGGGTTAAGTATGTCCTTTTAAATTTTTTTCAGTTACTTTCTGCAGAATTTTCTTTGTAACACCCTGAATTCATGCTTTATGTCTTAATTTTAATCCTAATTTCTACCCTTTCAATGTCATAGTAATATAATCTGACACTCCTATTACTATTTGGAATTTGATTCTGGATACCTATGGGACTAAATCTAACTTTCCATTATGACTGAGGCAGTCTTTCTTGAAGTTGTTCTGTAGGACTAATTTTTAAATTTTTCTGTTTTAAATGAATAATTCTATTTCTCTGGTTTTATTATAAAAGAAGGAATAGAGTCTATAGCAGTGGCTTTGAGTTATTTGTGTGCACATTTTTGTGCTAGTAAACAACCACTTTCACAGCCCAATTTCCAATGAAAACATACGTTTAAAAGAGAATCATCTCGGTGGTGGTGGCTGCACATGCTTTTAATCCCAGAATTCAAGAGGCAGAGACAGATGGAAAAACCAGCCAGGGCTGCACAGAGAAACCTTTAAAAAAAAGATAAAGCAAGCTTGGCATTGTGGGACAAGCTATTCTGCCAGGAGGCAGAGGCAAGGCCGAGTCTGGTCTGTGTAGGTGGGAGTTTCAGCCAGACAAGGCAATATACAAGACTCTGTCTCAAAAATAAAGTAAGAAAGGGAAAAATAGCATGGTCTTCATATTGAAAAGTTCACCATCTTTATTTTAAATTACCGACTTCTAAGCCCCCCTCCATAAGTCCAATTTTCAGAATTTATTCTTTCCTCTAAATTTTCTTTTTGCTGCATTCTTTCCTACCTTGTATATATTCCATCATTTTGGTCTTTGTTTTAGAAAAGAAAGTATAGATTTCATGTTCTTGTGTAAAAGTTTTTTAATTAATTTTTAAAATTATCTTCTGAATTTTTTTTACTTTGACCTTATTTTAATTTTTTGTGTTGAAACCTCCTGAAAGAGAAACTTGATTACTTTTTTTTTTTTTTTTTTCCGAGACAGGATTTCTCCGTAGTTTTTGGTTCCTGTCCTGGAACTAGCTCTTGTAGACCAAGCTGGATAGCCTAGAATTCATAGTGATCCACCTACTGTGCTTCCCAAGAGCTGGGATTAAAGGCGTGCACCATCATCCCAGTACTGCAGTTCTTTACAGAGTGTTTAGTGTGATGATGATAAAAGGCTGTCTACGTGGGACTGGTCTCGGGTTTTTGCTCATTATCACCTCACTTAATACTTAAAACAGTTGTAATAAGCAGATACTATTTTCCCTCACACTTTTCAGATAAAGAAAGTGAAGCAAAAGAAATCTCTTTCTGCAGACCACACAAACAGCTAGTTAAAGGGTGGGTCAGGCCTTGCTAGTCTTGGTCCCCCTGTTCTCTTTAACTCCTGGGTGTGCAGTCACAAATGACAGTGGTAATCATGGAGATGAGCTTTGTAACACAGTGGCTGAAGCAGTCCTTACACATTTAGGGATATTAGGTTAGAAAGATAGAGGGGCCCGTGTCTGAAGATTAACATGAGAGGGAAGGCTTATTTTGTTCTTTGTTGTCCTGGGTTATTCTTTTAGACACGGTCTCACTTTGTAGCCGGCTGACTTTGAACTCTCAGTCTTAGAGCTCTCAGATTACAGGTGTGCACCACCATGTCCAGCTAAGGATGCTTGTTTGGAAAATTTAGTTTTAATCCTGGGTCTAAAATTCAGTATTTCATGTTTTGAGCTTTATCATTTGTTTTGGAATCTATATTGAACTGTAAAACAGAACAGAATCCGTTCTTTCTACTTTGAATCATTTTGGGAAAACTCTATAAGTTATAATGTATCAAGTTGTGTACAGATGCAAAAGAATGGGTTTTAAAGAGAAATTGTCTCTGCTGCTTTTAAGAAAAATAATCATGTCTTCATTGCGGAACTAGGAAAGCAGCAGTAAGGAATCTGAGCTTCTGAGATTAAAGACCACTGAGCCAGCAGCTACAGGCTGTCCTGCTAAACATTTTACCTTACCTGTATGCTGGTTTTCTAATATGAAAACTATTGTTCGCTGCTTAAAAAAGGAAAGTCACATATATTAGATCCTTAAAGCCAGGTGTGTTTGACAGGATGTTTTAGAGGGTAAGGGCACTTGCCTCCAATGCTTACAACCTGAGTTTGATCCCTAAAACCCACATGATGGCAGAGATCTGGTTCATTTCATTTCTACATACGTACACACACAAATGAATAAATAGATAAGTGTTAATCTTATGGGTTTGGTCCTGGTGAGTCTAGAGAGATGGCTCAGGGATTCAGTTCCAGCACCCACACGATTGCTCACAACTATCTGTTACTCCAGTTCCAAGGGATCTGATACCCTTTTCTGGCCTTCATGGACATGGCGCACATGGTATACACGATTCAGGTAAACACACATTACATAAAATTAAACTATAGAAAAAAATGGTGTCGCACACTTTTTATCCCAGCACTCATGAGGCAGAGGCAGGTGGAGCTGTTTAAGTTGAGGCCAGCTTTGTCTATAAAGTGAGTCCAGGACAGCCAGTACTACATAGAGAAACACTGTCTCAAAAAGCAGAACAAAACATTTATATGCATTTGTATTTATATGCATATACTAGTGGGTTTCACTCATTACATACCTACTGCATGTGGGGGTCAATAAGTATAACCCCAGTACTTGGGATGAAGCACACAAAGAAGCAGGAGGATCGGGAATTCAAGATCTTTCTTGACTACATGGTGTGTCAAGTTCAAGGCTAACTTGAACTATTTGAGACTCTATTGTAAGAGAAATTCTATACATATATAATCAAGAATTTTTTATATGTTTATATCTATTTTATATATATAAAATCAAGAACACATCTTCAAGTTTGCTGTGCCATATTGACAGCCTTCTACATCCAAAATTTATTTTTCATTTTGTCTGAATTTTGTTTTTGTGTATATATGTGTGTGTCATCTTTAATGTGGCTTTGGTTTGGATTTTTATTTCTTTTGGGGGGGGTTGTATTCGTTGAATTTAATTATCACTCCTGAATTTATTGAATGCATTGTGTGGTGTATTGTGTTTGCTTCTAATATTAGTTTGTCACAAATTAAAATCAACAATCTCTTAACAACTATCTATCATTGTGGGGCAACACCTAGTCATTACTCGGTCCATAAGGCAGCATGCTTCAGTGGTCCCAATCTGCTGCTTGGAATGTTCCTGGAGAGCCACTGGTCTCTAATCCATAGTAAAAGTTTAGAAACCTGGGGTCTGCTGTGATCAAAAGGACCACCACAGCAGCAATGGGGCAAATTAACTTGATGGCAGGAGGGAAGCCAAGTGAGAAAAAGGCTACTCAGTGGAGGATTGAATGAATGGAGAATAACCTACTGTTTACAGAAGTTTTCTGATAGAAATAGCTGATCCCTTGCCAGATAGGCATAGAGGCAGTCTAGTCTGGTCTACAAAGTGAGTTCCAGGACAGCCGGGGCTACCCAGAAAGAGAAACCCTGTCTCAAAAAACATAGCTGATCCTCAGATTGAATCTAGCAGTTCTTTCTTGAACCCAAAACATTATTTCACGAGCAGATTAAATGAAGAAATAAATTCCTTATTCATATAATATATACATATGTGTGTATACATATATACATAGATATTTTAATACAGCTCTGCATTAAAAGGCATTGGCAGACTCATGTAAAAATTTTGGGGTGGGGAAATTGCTCTGTTTATAAATGAATAAGACCACGCTATGAGTCATTTTCAAGAAAAATATGTTTAAGAAGTTCATTAGGGCAGGGGATATGACTCATTGGTAGAGTTCTTGCCTAGCATGCTCAGAGCCATGTTCCAATTCCACCACTACCAAAACAGACAAAAACTACATATTTCATTAACACATTAAACCTATGAATCTTAAGCATTATTCATTGAAAAATGTCTGGGTAATAGTGTTTAAATTTGGGTTATTAAATTATTAAGTCGTTTATTCGACCCAGTTAATTAAAAAATTGATCTCTATTTAGTAGAGAGAAAAATAGCATAGGATTTTATGTAGTCAGGACAGATTTATGTTTCTGTTAATATTTTTACAGAAATTAAACCAGAGAGTACATATTAAACTAGATTTTGTTCCTCTCCACATATCCTATAGTATTCTTTAAGGAAAGAGCATGTGTTAATATGCTGCATATTTAGTTCTTCTTTATAGTTTCTTTCCTGGCAGACAGTCTTAGAGACATGGCTAATGGACAAGTCTCCAGAGCTTTTCATCAACGAGTTTCCTCACAGTGATACTCTTACATTTGAAATCCTCTAGCATTATCGTTAGCAAATGCTGGTATAAGATGAGCAGTTGACTTATCTGTTTGTGCTTATAAAATGACTGTATTTAAGATATATCAACTATTATATTATTGGAGTTGGGATGTAGTCATTGTAGGACATTTGCCTGTTATGGGCAAGGCACTGAGTTGAATCCTTAGCATTTAAAAAAAAAAAGAAGTATATCTCGTGGAGATTTCTCCAAAATCCATCAGTTTTAACTGATTTTAATGTCACCATTGATAGTTCACACAGTAGCTGCCCTTGTTGAGCATTTACTGCATCTTACATCATCCTGTCAGAACTGCATGAAGTTGGTATAGAGCCCCTTAAGATTAAGAAATTTAGCCAGGTAGGGTGGTGCATGTCTCAAAGAAAAGAAAAGAAAAAGAAGAAAAAGCCGGATTTGGTGGTGAATGCCTTTTGTCCCAGCACTTGGAGGCAGAAGTAAACATATCGGAATTCGAGGCCAACCTAGTCTACAGTGTGAGCCAAGGATACACAGAAAAGTCCTGTCTTGAAAAAAAGAAAAAGACGAAAGGGGGAGGGGTTTTGACCAGTTACATCACATTAAGTGATAAAGGGTTATTAATGGACATTTATTTCACAATACAGCCCATGTTCTTAACCTCTGAATTAGTACTGGCAGAACATCATATCCATCTGCTTGTGATACGTGATAATAAATTTTGAGACAGGAAAGGATTGCCTTTTCTGTAGCATACTTCACACTTGTAATCACTTGTTGCTCATTTTCCTGACCAAAAGTTCTGCTTATTTAAAAGTCTTCTATCGTCTTGAGACTTAGCCCAACCCCACCGTTCTGTTTTCCACAGTCCTCTGGTAGAATGTGCCACTCTTTTCTTCTCAGGTTTATGCATCTCCACTGAATAGTTAGACTATTAGCTGCATACTGGCTTCTGCATACTTATTTGTTTTAGACTATTGAACCTACTTAATGTGGTTCTGCTGCATGGTTAGAGCCTAATAAGGAACTGTCCCATGAGTAGATGAACTTCAATTCTGAGAAGATATACTTGCTATTGATATGTGTCTTTCTCACATAAATTTGTGATCATAATGGGCAAAAGGTTTTGTGTTTTGTTTGGCTTATCTTTGTTTTGTTTTTTGTTTGTTATTTTCTGTGAGTGTTCTCTCAGATCATTGTTGGGTCTTCTCAAATGTGTGTTAAAACTTTTATGAAGATCTATGAGTATCTTTCCTATGAAAAGTAAAAAGTTAGCCTCGGAAAACTAAAATGGCATTAAGCATACAATAGGCAAATTTGTCTCCTTGATCCTAAAATACGTCCTAGTCATGTTTGGCATTACACTAGGAACAGGTCACCGGAACAGATTAGAAATCCCAGAAGCAGTGAAATATGTATAGCTTAGTATTTATTATTAGTAGTAGTAGCATTAAGAAATTATGGGAAATTATTGAAATTTCTTTCAGTTAAACAATGCTAGGAAAGGAAGACTTATGACCATTTGGAAGTAAAGTATAACCTCTGTTATCTTAAACAAAACTTGACTGTAAGCAGATACTATAAGAGTGTATGTGGGAGTGGATGGTTTGTAGGGAAGAGAGAGAAGCATCCCCTCTGGGAATTTCTCTACAATTTTCACCAAGGAAAATTGTAGGCTTGTGCATTGACCAGTGGTAGCTTCCTAAGTAAAATATTAGTGCTTCTGGAGTGAAAGACAGGAATTCAGACAGTTAGAGTGAAGCTGTTTTTGAGATTAGGCTGCCCAAGCTCTGCGAGTTCTCGAATACTTTTAGAGTCATCAGTAACTAATAGAAGAGGAAAGAAAGCAGTTTGTCGTGATTTGCTAAATTTGAAGAACCTAAATCTTAAAGAGCTTATAAAGATGGGAGGAAGTGTATTACAAGGTGACCGGAGGGCATAGAATTTTGGTACTACAATTAAAGCTTAATTCTATGCCCTAGAAAACAAATTGGTTACAAAAATATGACCAGACCTTAGGCTAGGTTAAAGATGGACAGAAGGAAAAGTGCAGGTTTAGAAGATTGACAAAGGGGAGGGAGTCACATTAATAACTAATAAGTGTGTCTCGCGGATCTAAAAGTTTTGCTTAATCTTGTGCCTAGCAGCATTTGGACAAAGGCTATCACATTTCCACTTTTTGCTAGCTCTTAAAATATGCCCAGGGGGTAGCAGAATAGTTTTAAATTACAGCCTAATTCAACATAAAGGATTTTTAGTGTTTGAATTTTAGCTTCTGGCAGAATGACAGATAACTAATTCACATTGTTAACTTTTAGATGGTTTGTCTTCTGCTGATCCCAGCTCAGACTGGAATGCACCAGCAGAGGAGTGGGGAAACTGGGTAGATGAAGAAAGAGCTTCTCTTCTGAAGTCCCAGGAACCGATCCCTAATGATCAAAGAGTAAGTATAAGGAATTAAGTGATGATTATTTGTTAAAGAGACTGAGGAATCAGCGACACACACCTTTAATCCCATCTCTTGAAAGGCAGAAGCAGGCAGAACTCTGGAAGTTCAAGGGCAGCCTGGTCTATAGAGTGAATTCCAGAATAAGCACGCGTCAACATGGGGGGGGGGGTGTTTAGACCACAGAGGCAGAGACAATTGAGTCTCAGGAAGGAGGACATGCTGAACAATATAAGAAACAGCAGAATGAGCCGGGCGGTGGTGGCGCATGCCTTTAATCCCAGCACTCAGAAGGCAGAGACAGGCGGATCTCTGAGTTCGAGGCCAGCCTGGTCTACAGAGCTAGTTCCAGGACAGGAACCAAAGACACAGAGAAACCCTGTCTCGAAGAAAAAACAAAGGAGCAGCAAAGTGGTTAGGGACATTAGGCCTGAAGATTGTCACTGTATTTACTTCCTGGGAATTTAGATCATTTTCATTACAGATTTTGGAGTCAGGGTTAGGGGTATAACTGTTTTAGAGCTTGTGCTTAGCATGTACAATGCCCTGGGTTCAGTCCTTATCCAAAAAAAATTGTGAGCTAAAAGCCATATTTCAGAAAATTGAGTACTTAAGAGGTTAGTGTTGGGGACTGGAGTGATGTGGCTCAAGGGTTAAAATCATTGGTCTTACAGAGGACCAGATTTGATTCCCAACACCCACTTGGTGGCTCACAACCATCTGTAACTCCAATCCCCAAGGTATTCAACACCGCAGGCACCAAACACATCAATCTGGTGCACAGACCGGCAAAATATCACACACATAACTTTTTTTTTCCCCCAGAGAGAAATACTAGCAAATAAAAAGTTCAGAGGAAAAACTAGGTAGATAGGACTGGAGGAGAGGCAGTAGGTGACAGCAACACATAGTATGGGGGCAATGGTGATAGCGATTTTAGCACAGGTGGCAGACTGCCGTGGATTCTGATGTGTTCCTGTGCTCTGCAAATAACGTTTGGACAGTATAGAGATGAACTTCATTTGTACACATAGCATGGGAAGGGCTGAGGAGGTCTTTGGTAAAGTGCTGAGACCTGAGTTAAATCCCCAGAACTCACATGAAGCCACGCCTGGTAGCACAGATCTTTAATTACTGTGATTCTATGGCAAGGTGGGGGATGGAGACGAGAGAGAGCCAATATGTAGCATTGAACAATAAAAAGATTCTGTCTTAAGATACAAGACAAGAAGTAACACCTAAGTTGCCCTCTGACTTCCATGCCGGTGCCATGGTACAAATGGGACTAGTCATACAAACACAGATATGCACACGTGTATGTATATATACACGGGGGTTGGGAGAAGTTGGCCTTGAGATGGATCATAATTTGCTAGCCTCTGCATTAATATAGCTGTAAATGAGAAGGATCTGGAGTAAAGTTTGAGGTCTAGAGAGAAATAGGGATATTTGTGCTGCTCAGTGTTAGATCTCTTGCCTAGTATATGTGCAAAGCCTTAGATTCAATTCTTTAACACTGGCAAAGACAAGAAAAAGCAAAAAGGGATGAATTAAAGCTATATTAAATTAAATATGAATAGACACTTGAAAATGCACTAAAGCTTTGAGCAAGATCTAAGTGATACTGTATATTTCTATACAATTTTGTCCTACCTAAATTTATAGGAAATTGAATGGACCCAAAATTCAAGGTAGTAGTCCTTTCCTGGAAGTATGATAACGACGGGACCTAAAGTCCTGTTTTCATCCAGTGAGTTTAAGTAATGTTTTATTAAAATTTTGTTTGTCGTAGCTTATTCTTATTTAGATTTTGGAAAATAAAGACCAAACATAACTGAAATTATTTCACAGTAATTGTTGTAATATAAGTGTAGCCAGTGGAGTTTACTTCAGTATTGTGCTTTTAACATCAGGTCTCAGATGATGATAAAGAAAAAGGAGAGGGAGTTCTTCCAACTGGAAAATCTAAAAAGAAGAAAAAGAAAAAGAAGAAGCAAGGTGAAGATAACACTCTCTCACAGGTAAAGTTCCTCAACAGTGAGTGTTCATTGTCATACACCCATTGTGGGTGATACGGAAAGGTGATGAAGACACTAAGAATATGTAGAGATAAATGGCAGCGTGTGAACCATCTGTAAAGATGTATGTTGTGCCTGCGTGTGTGTATGTGTGCCACATGTATCCTAGTGTCCACCGAGGTCAGAAAAGGCTATCAGATCCCCTGGAACTGAAGTTATGGATGGTTGTGAACCACCATGTGGATGATGGTAATCGAACCCAGCTCTCTTAGAGCAATAAGTGATCCTAGCCGCTCAGCCATCTCTCCTGCCCTCTCCAGTGAGTTTAAAAGAAAGTTGGGCATATTAGGGAACTGCTACATAATATTAGTATAATAAAAATTGTATTACCCTGGGACTGGAGAGATGGCTCAGCAGTTAAGAGCACTGGCTTCTCTTCCAGAGGTTCTGAGTTCAATTCCTCGCAACTACTTTGGTGACTCACAACCATCTGTAATAGGGTCTGATGCCCTCTTTTGTCATGCAGGCATACATGTAGAGCACTCATACATAAAATATTAATTAATAAATAATTTTTTTAAGAATTGTATTATCCTAAAAAAAAAATGTCAGAGATTTACACCTTTAAAACTAAATCAAATTGCACGTGTACTTGTTGTTGTTGTTGTTTTGTTTGTTTGTTTGTTTTTTGTTTTTCAAGGCAGGGCTTCTCTGTAGCCTTGGTGCCTGTCCCGGAACTAGCTCTTGTGGACCAGGCTGGCCTCGAACTCACAGAGATCCGCCTGCCTCTGCCTCCCAAGTGCTGGGATTAAAGGCATGCGCCACCACCGCCCGGCATGTACTTTTTATTATGGAATGATGAGGCAGGAAAGGCAACACAAGGTCACACATGGAGAAACAAATCTCAGCCGGCTTTAATCCCAGCACTCGGGAGGCAGAGGCAGGCGGATCTGTGTGAGTTCGAGACCAACCTGGTCTACAAGAGCTAGTTCCAGGACAGGAACCAAAACCACAGAGAAACCCTGTCTCGAACAACCAAAAAAAAAAAAAAAGAAACAAATCTCAGAGCTTCTGTGTATATGCCTTTAGCTTCACCAGCACACGGGTGAAACAGACTGAAGTCCACTTCTGTTTCCCTCTCTACCTGCTTTCTAATCGTCCTCTTCAGGCGGGAACACCCCCCAGGAACGTCTTAGTCTGTTTCCTGCCTCCAAAACCAGCCAACACCACTTTTTGGCTCTCTCCATACTGCCAGCTAACCATGACCTTCCATATTCTTCAGAAGTAGTCCACCAGGTTGGAGGCTGCCACCAGCCACCTGTCACTTTGCATCAGTGGGGTCAAGGATGCTATCACTCCAGAAAGCATCAGTTTTTCCTGAGTCCTACCTGAACTCTTCCCCCTCCCTAGTCTCTGACTATTCCTAGAGAACCATTTCTTTATAAATGAAGTTATTAGTTCATCATGAAGATAGGCAGGGATTTGGGAGGTGTATCATTTGATAAAGTACCTGCTATACAAGCACAATGCTTGAGTTTGGATCTCCAGAACCCACAGAAAAGGTGGACATGGTGTTGTGTGCATGTCGTCTCAGCCTCAGCAGGGAAGGATGAGGTCTGAGATGTCAGGTCCCTGAAGCTCATTGTCTAGCCAGTCTCACCAGATGAATGAACTTTGGGTTCATCTATGTGCTGACCTTAAATTCACACCCGAATTTTGAGTTGCTGTCATATCACATTCCATAGAAACAGCAATATATTGGGGGAAATAGAAAAAGACAGGATCTCCTGAGTAAATTGGGAGGGGAACATGGGGTCTTTTGGGAGAGGGTTGAAAGGAAGAGGAGAGGCAGGGAGGAGAGCAGAGAACAATGTAGAGCTCAATAAAAATCAATTAAAAAATGAAGTTTGGGAAAAAAAATAAAACCACATAAAGATGGAAAACACAGAATTTTTAAGTGGCATGTGCTTATGTGTGTTTGCCTGTACCTGTGCCACAGCATGTGGTGGAGGTCAGAGGCCAACTTCTGGGAAGTCGATTGTCTCTACTGGGTAGGTGCTGAGGATCAGACTCGGGTTGTTGGGCGTGGTAGCAAGTACCTTTACCCACTGAGCCCTCTCTCTGCCAGGAAGGGAACTCTTGCCATCCTCTCGGGCAGCTGTTAGAACAGGCATAGAGTCTGACATTGCCATGCCTTGAAACTTTAAGTCTAAACAATGAACACAGGAAGCATTAAAACTTAGGCAGGACTTTAGAAATTTCCTGGGTGAACTTCTTTAGTTAAGGGAATAAAGGCAACGAAATTAAAAGATTTGACCCTGGAATTACATGGATGTGTCATGTCATGGTCAGATTGGAGGTCTCTGTATATCCTTTGTAATGTGGATGTGTACATGTGAGTGAACACATTGCTCCTTGAAGAAGTCACTGAGTGCAACTCTGTTTTTAAAGTCTTGTTTCCATTATCAGCCTCTTTGCTGTATGCGCCTTTTAAATTGAATGTTAGTTTATTCTCTTTGAGTTGGATTATTTAATTAGAATGGTTACCAGTCTGGGGATGGGGGGTGTTAGTATACGTAATTTAAGGGAACAGGATTTGAGACAGGATTGCACTCCCGTCCAGGCTGGCCTTGATCGTGGAGCAGTCCCTCTGCCTTGACCTCCAGGTGTAGGGATTACAGGCATGATCTCACCATACCTGGCTTGGACACCTTTTTATATATTGTATTATTGTATATTGTATAATATACAATATAATAATAATATATTAATATATATAATAATAATATATAATAATAATATAATATTGTATAATATATACAATATTCTGGTGACGGAAGAGGGCACCAGACCTCTTTACAGATGGTTGTGAGCCACCATGTGGTTGCTGGGAATTGAACTCAGGACCTTTGGAAGAGCAGGCAATGCTCTTAACCACTGAGCCATCTCTCCATCCCCTTGGACACCTTTTTTAAGTGAATTTGTTTCCTCAGGGTGACTTTGGAACAAAGTGAATTTTAATCAGTAAAGAATGAAGTTTAACCTCACAGGCTGCTTTCTTCTGCAGGACACAGAAGAACTAGAAAAAGACAATGGAGAAGAGCTTCCTGTGAATACCTCCAAAGCCCATCCAAAACAGGAGAGAGTGTTTTCCCTGAAGACCATGAGCACTAGTGATCCAGCTGAAGTACTCGTCAAAAATAGCCAGGTGATTTTTTTAAAGAATAATAAGGTTTTCTTGACTTAATAGTTATATAGTAATTCACATTTTATTGAAGTACTATGCAAGTATATGCCATTCTGAGTAGTGTGGTAGAATGTCATGCTGTGTAAGGACATCACCTGGGTACTCAACCATGTTATCAGATTGGTTGTTAAACTATATTGGTGCGTATGTGCAGTAACCCTTTTATTTTACATAATAATAGCTACCAAGCACAGAGATTTGTTACTGATCAAAGAAAAGCTATATGTGCTTCTCCTTTAAGTGAAAAGATTTTCAGATCAGTAAATATTGTGGAGAGGAAGCCTTTCAGTGGTGACCCACACCTTTGATGCCAGGATTCAGGAAGCAGAGGCAGGTGAATCTCTGAGTTTATAGCCAGCCAAGTTTACATTTTTAGACCCCTATCTCAAGAAGGGGGGTGGCGACCAGGGCATAGGCCTTAATGTACAGTTTCCTGTACCCACTGCCAATCTCAAAACCGTTCCCAAATGCTAAAGAGGATTGCTGTACTGTGCTTTTTCTTTCTAAATATCTAGGCATGTAAAGGATAGAAGACCAAGAGAAAAATGTTTTAACAAGCAACATTTACCCAAAGTACACACCTTAAAATGACCAGTTCTGTTTCCCAAAATGTAACATTTGTTTAAAAATTTGATAACAGTTTTTTGAAGTTTTGTTAATTGTTTTGCTTTCATTTTGTTTTACTTTGTTGTTGTTTGAGACAAGGTTCCATATAGCTGTGGCTGACCTCAAACTCAGCTGTTTAGCCAAAGTGGGCATAAATTCCTAGTCCTCCTGCCTCCACATTCCAAGGGCTGGAATTTTAGCCATGTGCCTGACAATGACATTTTTTAATCATGCACTTTTTATGGAAATATTGATGAGTCAGAAGAGACTAGTTTATGAAAGATTTGAGTCAATGACATGAAAAAAAAACCTGATTTCTCATTGGATAGCTTGCATGTGGTGGCTTGAACACCCTCACCCCATAGGCTCATAGATTTGAAATAGTTCAGTTTATGAAGTAGTAGAACTCTTTGATAGGATTGGAATGATTGGTAGTTGTGGCCTTGTTGGAGAAGTGTGTCACTAGGGGGTGTAGTTTTGAGGTTTCAAAATCCCAAGGCACATCCAGCCTCTTTCTTGGCCTGTGGAACAGGATGTAGCTCTCAGCTACTGCTCCACTGCCGGACTTGGCACCATGAGGACTAACCCTCTAAACCTGTGAACAAGCCCCCATTTATATTACTATAACATCAATAAAATAAATGTTTTCTTTTATTAATAGTTGCCTCGGGCTGGGACATGGTCATGCACGCCTTTAATCCTAGCACTTGGGCGGCAGAGACAGGTGAAGTTTGAGGACAGTCGGGGCTCTCAGAGAAATCCTGTTTCTGGGGGGTGTTTTGGTTGAGGTGTCTAAAATATATCCTAGGATGCTGCAGAGTTAACTCCGTGGTTAGGAGCACATGTTGCTCTTGCAGATCAGGGTTTGGTTCCCAGTACCTACATGGTGGCTCACGACCATATATAGCTAGTTGAGTGCCAGGCACGTGATATACATACATACTTGTAGGCAAAACACACACATAAAATAAATCTAAATAATTTAAATAAAATAGATATATTTGAGTTATCTGACTTATTCACACATTCGAAAGTTGTTGAGGTGCATATGCTACCTGCTGTTTGAGGAACAAAGCTACAACAGTAAGACAGAACGTCCCTGTCTGACGGAGTGTGGAGTAAGGACATCTCTGACATCCAGTCCTCTCCTACATCAGAGGGTGTCCCTGTCTGACGGAATGTGGAGTTAGGACACCTTTGACAAGCAGTCCTGTCCACGGCAATGCCCGTCGTGCTTCCCATCTAGATTTGATGCCTTTCAATCCCTCAAAGTGTTCTGAGGTAAAGGAATATGATCTCTGATTACATAAAGTTTAGGAGTGAGCCAGGCATTGATGGCGCACGCCTTTAATCCCAGCACTCGGGAGGCAGAGGCAGGCGGATCTCTGTGAGTTCGAGGTCAGCCTGGTCTACAAGAGCTAGTTCCAGGATAGGAACCAAAAGCTACGGAGAAACCCTGTCTCGAAAAATCAAAAAAAAAAAAAAAGAAAGTTTAGGAGTGAGTATTACAGCCAAGAGTGTTTGACGTTCTAGTGTTTAGTGTTTTACCTAAGTCATGCTCAGAAGTCATTTTATGAAAAGGAGGTTGAGTCTTTGACTTAATGTAAGTAAAGTGAGAAAACAGAAGGGAAGAAGGTGAGAAGTCCATAGCAGCTGCAGGTGTGATGTAATACGAGGAACTTTAGGGAAATGTGAGCAACATGAGCATAGGCTTGGTACCTGCATAGAAGGAAAAAATGCTAGCAGCTCTCTGAGCTCACATCACTTCTCTTCTGTTCATGGAGTCTCCAGGAAGCATAGGAGCAAGAGAAACACGAGTTTCCTTGTTTTTGTGTTCTGGGTGCTGGTGAACGGTAAAGCTGACCAGTGAAGTGATTCACTCACCTCTCACATCCCTGAGTCATTTAATCTTAATATTGCTGTGACAAGTTACCACCCTACTCTTCTAATCTCATTACTAGACCCAAGAGTCTGAAGGTCTGTACTGGTTGTTTGAATCAGTAGGACCCTTCCCGGTCTGCTTGTGGAACGCACAAGCACCACTGTTTTTTTTTTTGTTTGTTTGTTTGTTTGTTTGTTTTTTAATTTTTATTTATTATGTATTCAGTGTTCTGCCTGCATGTATCCCTGCAGGCCAGAAGAGAGCACCAAATCTCATTACAGATGGTTGTGAGCACATGTGGTTGCTGGGAATTGAACTCAGGACCTTTGGAAGAGCAGGCAAAGCTCTTAACCACTGAGCCATCACTCCAGCCCACAAGTGCCACTGTTAGCAATATTTCTGCTTCTTAGAGAGGAGACTAGGACAGATCAGCAAGAAGGATGCCCTAAGCTCAAAGCCAGCATAGGCCAGTCTGGGCTAATTCACTGGGGGTCTCAAAAAAAAAAAAAAAAACTTAAATAGGTAAATAAAAGTAATTCACTATTTTTGTCTTTTTAACAGTTTTGATTAGCTCAGAGTTGGTGGAAATTAATTGAACTTTTCTAAAATGCTATTTACAATGAAACAGAAGCATGAAAAGTTGAAGTAGGATTAGTCTCTTTTATTTGAGATTTATTAGCTATTTTAATTTCTTTTTCATTTTTGTGATTTTTTTTTTTTATTTTTGAGACAGGATTTCTCTGTTTAGCAGCCTTGGCTGTCCTGGAACTGGTTTTGTAGGCCAGGCTGGTCTCAAACTCGCAGAGATCCACCTGCCTCTGCCTCCTCAGTGCTGTGCATGCCCCACCTCCCATCCCCCCATTCATAGGTAGGCAAGATAGCAATGCACCACACTAAATGGATAGCCCACTCTTCCTGTCAATGCACCAAACTAAATGGATAGCCCACTCTTCCTGTCAGGTAGCCCAAATTGGTAGAGGTTATTTTTTAAAGCATCCCCTAAAAAATTAGCCTTTTGGTAATTTTAACTTGTATGTTTATCTTACTATATTCATAGATGTTGTAGATGATGCCTTGTTTAGTTGTATCACTAGAGGGCAGAAATGAGGCACAGTGCTACCTGTAAACTAGAAACCACTTTAATTTTGCTTGCTGCTAGTCTCTGGATATTGCTATAATACTTAATATTATATGAAATTTATACAAAATTCTGAAATGATTTTATTCCAAAATAGCCTATCAAGACTCTTCCACCTGCTGTCTCTACCGAGCCATCTGTCACCTTATCCAAAGGTGACTCTGACAAGAGCTCTTCCCAAGTGCCATCGATGTTACCAGACACAGACAAACCCAAGTCAAATCCTAAGCAAAATAGTGTGCCTCCCTCACAGAGTAAGTGCTTTGTTTGTCTTCTTGCATTTTTTCTTACATCGTGTAAAGGTTCTGATCTTAGGATTCTGGTAGGATAGTAGAGCACGGCCCGCCTTCTGGAAATGTGTGGTTCTTTGAAACTTCGCAGAATTGAGTTGTGAGAGCCAGTGCTAAGATAACACGAGCAGTGAAGATTGGAGATGCTGTCTTGGCTCCTTGCCCTTTTCCTTTGCTCAAGTTCCTGAGGCTGCCTGTTACTCTCCTCATCTCCTGCTGCCAAGAACACAATAGTGCTCCATCTCAGAGAGAGGCTGGAGGGAGGGAGGGGAAGAAAAAAAAGAAACAGTTATCTGTGGGCTGACATTAGCTGAGTATAAGCAGTTACAGTTAAAACCTTGGCTTGAAAAGAAAGGAAACAGAGAATGGCAAACTTGAAAACATCCAAGAATGGAAAACTTAAAACATAAAATTTGAACATTTAAAAGTTTCTTAGTAGTTGTTACTTTTATATTAATACTGGCTATCCTCCTTATATTTTTCTCTCCTCACCACCCCCCCCCCTTTTTTTTTTCTCTTAGCCAAGTCTGAAACTAACTGGGAATCTCCAAAACAAATAAAAAAGAAGAAAAAAGCCAGACGGGAAACGTGAATTTTTTTTTTCCTGAATTGGACATGTGTTTACAAACACTGTCTTGAAGATTATGCTGTTTATGCAATAATTTGTGAACATGTACAGAGTTTTATATAAATTTAAACCAATTTTTAAAACAAAACTGAATTCAACACCATAAAATGGAATCAAAGGAAAGTTAATTTATGAGATTAAGAGGTGAACAGAATACATACTACAGTGCTGGAAGACACTTGGGAGAATCTTTTCAATTGAAGAATATTATCTGGTTTTACAACAGTTCCCTGTTTACAACAGATTGTGCCCTCTCATCTGCAGCTGAGGAACAGTGGATTCTGATTAGAAAGAAGGCCGCCTAGAAACCAGTAGGCAGCTCCTTGGAACTTATGCACGAACTTAGACCATTTGAATCTGTTTTATGCTTAAATCAAAGTGCTTCGATCAAATGCGTGATCTGCCATATCTTTACATATTTGTTGTAGCAATTTGTATGAAAAGAATCACAAGTGCAAATAAAGAGGCATCTATCATTTGTTAACTAAACTGTCTTGGTTTAGTTTACAGTTCTTAAAAAGTTCTTAATTAAAACATTGAAAAATGCAATTGACTTGTATGGCTTAAAAAGTTATTTTTGATAGTCTTACATTACTTGAATTATTCAAAGTAACAGTATATTTTAAATTAAGAAAGGTAAACTATATTATTTGTTCAATATGATTAAGACTGAGACTAACAAATAATGCTCTTGTTTATGATTTGAAAACTTGCAGGCAAAATCCAAACTTAATATTTTCCTTTCCCTAGCAGTTTTTCCAGTGTCAATTCTTAGTTGCTAGTAATTTTTTTTTTACTTTGAAAATGAAGTAATTTACAACTTTTGAACATATGATGGAGAACGGAAAAGTAGTCAGACAGCTTTAATTGACATTGTCGAGACCTCCAGTTATCAGGAATACATTTTTTACTGCCTTAACCTGTAGTGCGCAGAATATGCATCAGTTTCTTGAAGGGGATTCATGTTTTTCTAAGAATTTTCATGTACCTATTGCAATTGTGGTCAAAAAAGGAACATTTTCTGCTTGAAACTCTTGGTTTAGATGACGTGTGTTCTGTCACCGTTTTCAGGCACTGTGTGATCTCCAGGAAACTGGCAGGCCTAACTGTTGATGGTGCATGCGTGGCCATGTGCACTGTAAATAGCCTTTACCAACCGTGTTCGACAAGGACCACACTTAACACCACTTACGAATCGTGATAAGAAAAAAGCCATGGTTTATTGATGTGAGTGGCGCCGGGAAAGAACCTGATTAAAAGCTATAACCAATGGTACTGATCTATCCATCAAAATTGTCTTTCTGTTTGACTGTAGTTTAATGATATTTTCAGCTGGGAAAGCTACCAGATGTAAAATGGTTTAGTTCTGCTGAAGACTGGCCTTACTAATGGACAGCTTTCCTCACAAGCAATTAACAGCCTTTTTTCAGGTGTTAGCATCTGTTTCAGGAACACGGCAGTGTGTTTACATGTCGTCAGAAGTGTTGTTTGAATGGGATTTCTAAATTAATTAACTTGTTTAAATAAATTCAGAAATGGATAGCATTGTTTTTATTTGCTTCGCTATTGGGGTAAATAATAGCTGATACGCCAGGATTGGAGCCTTCAGGTGGCTCTGTGAACTTCACGTTCCCTCAGGGGGGCTGCCACGTTGTGTCCCCGGGGGACTTGGATGAGGAGTCTGCACTTTCAGAGTGTGCCAAAAGGTCAGTGCTCAGAAGTTTAGTTGAACTCTCTCAACTCTACCTCACTGTTCCTTTTTCTTTTAATTCTTTGGGCTAGGTCAAACGTGAAACTTTATTTTTCCCAATTCAGTCACTTCCTGTAGGAGGGCGGCACCTCACACCAGGTACCAACAATACCGTCTTCGTGAGCAGCAATGTGTCATGGGAGTAGACCAAGCACAGTGGTACCCTGGGTGGGTCAGTGTGGAGATGGCCTCTGTGCCTTCCTTCTCTCTGGCTTATGAGCCAGGCTATTTTGTTTTTCAGAAGGCAGCTATTCAAGTGTTCGTTGCTCGTTGCCTCTTTATTGATCTTTATGTAGCAGGACAGTGATTTCTTGTCACTAAACAGAGGAACTGGTTTCTGTCATCAACCCAGAAAACACTGAAACCTAGGTAATGGCGATTAAGGGGGTGGCAATAAAGAGGGTCCCTAAAGCCACCTGCCTCCCTGCCATGGGTGTGGCCATATCAGAGTTCTCCAACTGCATTCTCCCCATCCGTGCCCTAAATTGAGAAACAGTTGAGAGAGTCCAAAAAGAAAGTATTGAAATAAAATTTCATTAATGTAATTTACCATGTTTAATTTGTGCATGTATTTTATTGGGGAGGGGAAGTTGGAATAATTTATCCAAACCTAATGGTATTATTTCATAGGTTAATCCAGTTTGTATTTGAGTTAAAGTTCCCAGAGGGTATTAATTAATTGCAGAGTTTAGTTTTTCTTAATTGAAAACAGTCCTCTATTAATATAGTATGAAATATCAAAATTTAGCAGTTAGGTTCTAAAGTGTCTAATGGCTGTCTTAAGGTTTTCCTGTAAACTCATTGCACAAACTGGAATTGGAATTGCTTTCAAAAGATTTGGGGAATGAAAATATGTCATGTGTAAGATGCACTGAGTGTTGTAAATAAAACAAACCGGCTTTGTTTTGTTTAAATTGCTTCTTACATTCTCTGTGGGAAGGGACTTTGCCCTTTTCTATTGTGGTCTGGTAAGATAACAGACGGTTGGTGGTACCTGCCTTTAATTCCAGCACTCAGGAGGCAGAGTCAGGATCTGAGTTTGAGGCCAATCTGGTCTATAAAGTAAGTTTCAGGACAGTCAGAGCTACACGGTAAAACCTTGTCTCAAAAAAACAACAAAAAGTCAGGTTTTTTGTTCATGGGTTTTGTTTTTCCTTTCTGTTAAAACCATGGTTTCGGGCTTTACTACCGAAGTCAAATGAGCAGCTACACCTGGCGTCTCTACCTTTAGTCCCTCATTGCTGTACTCAGGAGGCAGAGGCAGGCAGAGTGCAAGGCTAGCCAGAGCTACATAGTGAGGCCTAATTCCTAAGTTCAAGGTTTACAGAGACGCTGCCTTTTAAGAGGACGCCTGTTGTCGATGTCTGGCTTACACATGGGCATGCATGCACACACAGACATACACATATAGAAAGGGTCTAGGAAGTAGCCCAGCGCTAGTATTTGTATACAGCAGTTGGGATTCTTCTGTGTTGCTTCCTAATGGTTGAGGACAGCCGCTTTCAGTACACTCTTTGTATCAGCACCTGAGCCCCATGGAAAAAAGCATTTCCCAGAAAAATGTTCGTAGAAATTACACTGCAGACTTTGTTTTTGCAAAAGTTGCTTGATCTTCCCATCAGCCACACAGAATAGGGTGGTAGTGGCAAGGGATAGTTCTGGGGTTTTTTGTTGTTTTGTTGTTTTGTTTGTTTTGGGTTTTTGAGACAGGTCATATATATATGTATGTGTATATATATATATATATATATATATATATATATATATATATATATATACCACTATACCTGGTTCCCTTGTCTACTTAGATTCTGAAAGAATTTCTGTCAGTAACAGCCTTGGGGCTGGGAGGTTGACTGAGGTAAGAGTTTTAAGCACGAGCAGCAGGACCGTGGCTTGCTAGAGGCAGCCTGTTTGCAGGTTCCCAAAGAGACCCTCCCCCTCAGGGTCCCACTCTGGGCTGAGGACCGTGCACACCACCATACCCAGCAACTGTTTAAAACTCTCAAGACAGCTGAAACAATTACCACACTGTAATAATGCCTAGCCATGCAAAATAGTTACAGTTTAAACTACCAGGCAGTAGTGACACACACCTTTAATCCCAACACTCAGAAGGCAGAGACAGGCAGATCTCTGAGTTTTGGGGCATCCAGGACTACACTTAGGAACCCTGGCTCAAAAAAAACAAAAACACTGCTACTGTTCTTTCTAAATACCTTTAGCAGTACACAATTCTAACTCCAGCATCAAGACACACGTGTGTTGTATTACAGTATTGTGTGTCAGGGCACAAGCGTACTGTGACACTCATAAAGGTTAAGAGGACCCACTTCCGGGCGGTGGTGGCGCACACCTTTAATCCCAGCACTCGGGAGGCAGAGGCAGGCGGATCTCTGTGAGTTCGAGACCAGCCTGGTCTACAAGAGCTAGTGCCAGGACAGGCTCCAAAGCTACAGAGAAACCCTGTCTCCAAAAAAAAAAAAAAAAGAGGACCCACTTCAAGAGATGTTTGCTGGTGGAGGCTGTTCGTTCCCAGCTGCCCAGACACAAAATAATCACACGGGAATCTGTATTAATTAAACCACTGCTTGGCCTATTAGCCTGTGCATATTTCTAGCTACCTCTTACATCTTAAACCCGTTTCCATTATTTTATATTTTACCACGAGGGTGGTGGTTTACTGGTAAAGTTCCCAGCTACAAATCTTTCTGACTCCGCCTACTTTCTCCCAGCATTCAGCTTAGTTCTCCCCCCACCCCAGCTCTATTCTGCCTTGCTATAGGACCAAAGCAGCTTCTTTATTCATTAACCAATAAAAGCAACACCTATACAGGACTTTACACACCAGAAGTCTTCTCTCCTTCCACCCTGTGGGTCCCAGGGATCAAGCTCAAGTCTCCAGCCTTGACAGCAAGCACTTTTATCAACTGAGCCATCTTGCCCAACCATTTGTGTGTCTCTGCTTTCCCTTTAATTTGTACCAAATTTGTATTGGAAGTATGTGTTGTTAATCCCAAGAGAATAAGACCACCACCACAATTTAAAGCCAAATTTGAAGCAAGCTTTAATCAAATACTGACCAGGTAGATGGACTCTGGGAAATGATCCTGAGTCACGGTTTGCATTGGCTTAAGGAAAACCCATTATTCATTACATTTCCCATCAGGTCCAGATGGTCCAATCAAGGGCAAGCATACATACTGATGCACCTCCAGCCTACATTGGACAAGCTCCAGTATTTCTTGCCTGTGAACCTCCTGCCCTCACGCGATCAAGCACCTCCAGTACAGGTGGGCCAAACAAACTTGTTTAGGGAGTGAAAACACGTGGCTTGTTATCTCCATAAACAGCCCCCGGCATTTCAGAAACTATCTGTCCTTGGTCAGAGACATTTAAAACTTAAAATGTAATTTGGCTCTCACAATGTATAACACTTTAAAACAATAAAAAAAGTTCCTCTTAAAACCACCACTCGGCTTAAATGAAACATTGCCTGTATAGGAACTTGAGGAGTGAGCTTGACTGTTTCATAATGGATGAAAATGGCTACTCTGAAATGCCTAATGTTGGAGAGAGGATCCCAGGTGAAGTGTACTCTGGTCTCAGCCTATTCACTTAGCCACCCTCAAGACATTAAGTTCCTGAGTTTGCTTAGGTACAATGGGTAGACGTGAGTGGTGTCCCAGAGGTCAAAGCTCTCCTAAGGGAGCAGCAAGTGCCCCACCTAGAGATTCTAGAGAGCTGCCAAACACCGAAGAGACAATGGTGTTTGGCACCAATGGTACAATAAATCACAAGTGTTGTTTTGAGACTTAAAGCAATGGAATTACAAATTATTCTCTTCTAAAGTGCTTTTATTATTTAAAAATGGGAAGTTAATGTAACAATTCCCATATCTGATCAGAATTGAAATATCCCAAATAAAAGTGTGAGAAAACCTGCCTAAGCCTGGGCCTACAAAGGAGCCCTCCTGGCATTGGATGTGTCTCTTAGTAGAATCGGATCAAGGATGCATATGGAGTTGATATCAAAAATCTCTCATTTCATCATAAATTGTTGTGACTTTAGACTGAAAATGTATTTAACAAAACTCAGTAGCAGCTGGCAAGGTGGAGCACACCTTTACTCCCTGGCAGGCAGGTCTCTGAGTTCAAGGTCAGCTTGGTGTACTTAGTTTTGTTCAGCAGGGAAGCAGGAGTAGAAAGACCCTGTTTGGAAAAACAATTTAATAGCCAGGCCCCCACCCCAGCCCTTTTTAAAACTAAAGTGCAGCGCTGAGAATCTTCTGTGCACTGGGAAGCTAAGGCAGGAGAACTTGGATTCAAGAGCAGCCTACGTTGCATAAGGACGCCATCTCAAAGTAAAAGAAGTCATCTCAAAATCAGCTAGTCAACGAAGTCATTAAAGGAACTCCAATGATAAAACGTTGAAAAAGGTTATCGATAACTTTTTGATTATTAAAGAAGATAATACCAATCGAACAGCACACTGAAATGGTGAATATATAAAACTCTAGACCCCTGGGGCTGGAGAGATGGCTCAGTGGTTAAGAGCATTGCCTGCTCTTCCAAAGGACCCGAGTTCGATTCCCAGCAACCACATGGTGGCTCACAACCATCTGTAAAGAGGTCTGGCGCCCTCTTCTGGCCTTCAGGCATACACACAGACAGAAAAATTGTATATATAATAAATAAATAAATAAATATTAAAAAAAAAAACTCTAGACCCCTGATAGGAGACAAAAGTGGAAAATTTTCTAGTTACGTTAGTTAAACCGCTCACACAGCCAGCAGCTGGGAGGCAAAGGCGGATCTCAGAGTTCAAGGTCAGCCTGGTCTACAGGGTGAGTTCCAGGACAACCAGGGCTACACAGAGAAACCCAGTCTAAAATATAAAGGAAAAAAAAGTTGGAAAGATGACTCAGTGGGTGAGACATTTGTTGTGCATGATAGAGAACCCCAGTTTGGGTCCCCAGAACCTACCTAAAGCCAGTATTTCTGTGATAGGATGGGAGACAGGACTCCCAGAAGCTTGGTGGGCAGCTAGCCTTTGGCAAAATGAGAGCCCCTGACTCAAGGTGAAAGGTAAGGGCTCACAGCTGGGGTTGTGCTCTGGCCTTCATGCCAAGGCAGTTTGCACTCCCAATCTGTGCTGATGTAGGAGGCTGGAGAGATGGTTACGGGGTTAATAGCAATGGCTCTCCTTCCAGAGGATACAGGTTCAATTCCCAGCACTGCTGTGGAATAATCCTTTTGTACACTATAAATTACACTGATTGACTTAACAAAGCAACTGACTGGATAAGGTTAGGCAGGAAAACCAGACTAAGGACACTGGGAAGAAGGGCAGAGTCACGGGAGTCACCAACAAGGCAGGGAAGGGAAATAGGAGGTGCAAGATGAAAGAGGTAATGCCACATGGTAGAAGGTAGATTAATATGAATGGGTTCATTTAAGATGTAAGAACTAGTCAGTAGGGGCTGGAGAGATGGCTCAGTGGTTAAGCGCATTGCCTGCTCTTCCAAAGGTCCTGAGTTCAATTCCCAGCAACCACATGGTGGCTCACAACCATCTGTAATGAGGTCTGGTGCCCTCTTCTGGCCTGCAGACATACACACAGACAGAATGTTGTATACATAATAAATAAATAAATATTTAAAAAAAAAAAAAGAACTAGTCAGTAATAAGGCTGAGTTACCGGCCGGGCATCTATAATTAACACTAAGTCTCTTGTGGTTATGTGGGAGCGACTGCTGGGTCACAGGAAAACTGCCTGCACAGCACCTACCTGGTAGTCCACAACCATCTGTATATCCGGTTCTGGGGATCTGAAATTCTCCTCTGGCCTCCTTGAGCACAAGGCGTGCACATAGTATAGAGATCTATTTGCAGGCAAAACAATCATAGATAGA